ATTGTAAGGGTTGGTGACCACCTCTGTCATCCATTTATCCTCCATGCCATATTTTTCTATTATTACTTCCTTCCATAGAGATACTTCTGGTGAGACAAATTTCCACAACCATTTCATCATCAAACTCTTGTTTTGGGTTTTCAGCTCTCTGATATTGAGTCCACCCCCTCTCTTACTTACCAGCAGTTCCTTCCATTTGACCAAATGGTACTTTCTTTTATCTTCGCTTCCCTGCCATAAGAAGTTCCTCTTAATCGCATCCAACCTCTTGGTTACCTTGGCTGGTATAGGGAATAATGACATCATGTACGAGGGAAGGGCATCCAGGACACTGTTAACTAGAGTTAGTCTGCCACCTGACGATAAATATTGACACTTCCAGTTTGCAAGCTTCCTTTCACATTTCTCAATTACTCCACTCCATATTTCTTTTGACTTGCTCTTAGACCCCAAAGGCATTCCCAAGTAGGTTGTTGGTAATTCACCCACTTTCCCTCCTAGTGTATTGGCTAGGTCTTCAATATTTATCACTGTGTTGACTGGATAGATGAAACTCTTGCTCCAGTTTATGTGCAGACCTGAAACAGCCTCAAAAATATTGAAGATGACCCTCAAAATCAGCATCTGCTCCTCTACTGCATCACAAAAAACTAGAGTGTCATCTGCATATTGTAGATGAGTAATCTCTAGATTATTTCTTGTATTATTTCCCACTTGGAAACCTCTGATCCATCCCTTTACTTTTGCTGTCTGAAATAAGTTGTTTAGTCCTTCCATGGCTAAGATAAAGAGAAAAGGGGATAAGGGGTCCCCTTGTCTCAGACCTCTGTATGACGAGAAGAAGCCACATGGGCTTCTATTGATCAGAATAGAGAATTTCACTGAGCTTATGCACTGTCTAATCCATTTTAGCCATTATGTTCCAAATCCCATCCTTTGTAACAGATTCATCAAAAAGTTCCAATTCAAATGATCATATGCCTTCTGGATATCCAGTTTACATAGGATCCCTGGTTTCTTGTCTCTCTCTCTGAAATCTACACTTTCATTGGCTATCAATACTGCATCCATGATCTGCCTATTCTTGATGAAAGCCATTTGTTGTCTATCCACTAGCTTATGTATCACTTTTTTCAGTCTTTCGGCCAAAAGTTTTGCAATTATCTTGTACACTCCTCCTACTAGACTTATTGGTCTGAAGTCATTTAGTTCCACAGCCCCCGTCTTCTTGGGTATCAAGGTCACAAAAGTAGCATTTATACTCTTCTCAAATACCCCTTCCTCGTGGAAGTTTTGAACTGCTGCCACCACTTCTTTTTTGATGACTTCCCAACACTGGCTAAAGAAAGCCATGGAGAAACCATCTGGGCCAGGGGCCTTGTCCCCGGCACATGCTTTGATGCCTTCTAGGATTTCTTGTGCTTCAAAAGGGGCCATCAGTTGGTTATTGTCATCCTCATCAATCGTAGGGCACCCTATCATTTCTAAGTCTGGTCTCCAGTCCTCAGTTTCAGCATATAACTTCTCATAGTATTCTGTGATCTCCTTTTGTATCTCAGCAGGCTCAGTCAATAGCTCATCTCTGACTTTAATCTTATCAATAGTGTTGACTCTTCTATGTGCATTTGCTGTTTTGTGGAAGAAGCTTGTATTCCTATCCCCCTGTTTAAGCCATACTGCCCTAGATCTCTGTCTCCATGCTGTTTCCTCTTTTTTAGCCACCTCCTCAAACTCAGCAGTAAGAGCCAATTTGGAAACTATCTCCTCTTCCTCCAAAATTCTCTGGTCCTGTATCATTTCAAATTCTGCTAATTGGTTTAGTACGAATTGCTTCTGTTGACTCAAATTGCCTTGCCTGGTCTTGCTCCACTCTTTCAACTTAGCTTCGCTACCAGTACAAAGTCTGGTTTTCCATGGAAGCGAAAAGACTCCCACCAGGTCTTAACTCTATCATTAAATCCATCAGTAGTCAACCACCAATTTTCGAACTTGAAATATGATTTGGTTGTCCCCCATTCTCCACATTGTAGCATTAATGGGGAGTGATCTGAGACCATTCTCTGTAAGACAGATTGTTTAATGTTCCTGAAATTTGAGTCCCATTCTTCAGAGATCAGAAACCTGTCTAGTCTTGCTGCTGTGAAGTGTCTGTCCCCTCTTCTCCAAGTGAACTCTCCCCCTGCTAAATCTAAGTCCATTAATTCCATGTCTTCAATGAACTCTGATAGCTCTGTCATTGCCCTGTTGATTCTGTTACAGTTGTACTTCTCAGAAGGATACCTCACAGTGTTGAAATCCCCACATAGGACCCCAGGGCCCGTGAATAGACCTCTTGCTGCCCCTAGCTCCCACCAAGTTTCTTCCCTTTCTGCTCTATCATTCGGGGCGTAGACACCTGTTAGATGCCATTTAAAATCCAGATTCTTCCCAGAGAAACAAACAGAAACTGAAAATGCACCCACACTACTCACCTCCCCATCCCATCTTCTTTTATCCCACATAATTACTATGCCTCCCCTCGTCCCACTAGCTTCAAGTTGCACGTAATCTGCCCACCTACTACCCCAGATTTCCTTAACTTTATTAGCAATCTCCCCCTCCATTTTTGTCTCTTGAAAACATACCACATCTGCTTTCCAAGTTCTTATCATGTTCCTGATAATACTCCTTTTCCTCCTACAATTCAGCCCCCTCACATTCCATGACACAATGTTTAAATTCATTGATCCATAATGGCCAAAACCCCCCCTTTACTTCTAGTACCATTGCTATAGAACTTAGAATCCAGTTGCAACCTTTTTAGTTCTAATAATCCTTTCCTCTTGCCTGTTGTTTGTTTACTCTGTTCCCCCCTGTTTCCTTGTTTATTGCTATCGATCTTCATCAACAACTCCTTCGCCTTTTCCTCACACCCTTTGAAATTAACCCCGAATTCTGAGCTTAGTTTGGTTATATTTTGTTGCATCCAGTCCGAACTGCTCATGTCTTCTTCTGGAAATTGGATGCCCAATGGAATAGCTTCCTCTGTACCTCCGTCTAAATTCTCCTCCTCCAGTGGTTGAAACATTACCGTTATACTCTTCTCCCCCAATTCTTCTCTATCCGTGACTGCCATCTCCACACTCTGTCTCGCGACTTCCAGCTCCCCTCGGTCTCTATTTCATTGTGTGATCTGGCGTTGAAATTTGTTTTCCTTTGCTATGTTTGCTGATATCTCGATATTTATTATGTCTACAGGATAGGTAATTGATGTTTGGGCTCTAGAATTTTCCACAACAATTGGGTCCAAAAATTTTTGGCCCAAAGTCTTTGGGCCCAAAAATTCCTTTTGACCTAGCTTTTTCTTGCTATACACATTATTTTCCCCTCCTTTAAATCTCAGGCCCACTTGCATGCGGGACCCCTCACTTGAAGTCCCCACGTGCCCATCTACCTTTTTCGCAGGTTGTGCCTCCTTTTTCTTCTGCAAAAGCTGATCCTGGGTATTGACCACTGGGTATTTGCCTTTCTCCTCTCTCCTCTCCTCTGATAATCTTACTGTGACTGGAGCTTCACACCACACCGGAATGGTGTAAGTGAAGCCATCGCAGGTTACTTCTACTTCTCTGGGAATCCTCTCCCCATCACCTCGTACTTTGATTCTGGCCCAATGAAGGTGATTCTTGAGAGAAGTCTCCTCCTCCGTCTCGATAAAGCCTCCACAGATGTCACCGATCTCCTTGAAGACTTTTTGTGACCACAAATTCATATGTAAACCCAGCAACCTAATCCATACCCAATCTCTCCTTATCTCCGCCGGCCAGCAGCCTATCGTTGGTTTCCACCATTCGAGCCCCAACTTCATCTTCCTCCAGATCCATTGACCATTTAATACATGCTCTGCTGCCACTTTGGATGGCAACTCAAACATAAAATACCCATCATTCATGGCATACACTTTGACTTGTATCGCCAACTTCCACGAATTACAAGCCCATCTTCTTACATCGTTCAAACTGGGGGTTTCGTCTGCTTGGCATTGAAATTTTCCTACGATGCACCTATTCAAGAGATCATTAACTGGCTGCGATTCACCACCTGTGATTCTTACTTTGTTCGCTGTACTCTGTATTTCGGCCTTCTCTGTTGCCTCCGTCATCCATCTATTTTGGAAGAGGGCTTCTTTGTAAGACTTGTGAAGCTGTTTTCTGTCCTTCACTACTGTCCCCTGTGTTTTGATTGGCTCATAAATGAACCCAGCAATCTTGTGAGCTATATTCCCCCAGCCTCCATTGGGTGTGGACTCCGGAGTTATTATGACAGACTTGTTTTGACCTTGTAATGCTATGAAGCTGATGTATCTTCCACTTTCATTGTATTTAAGAGTGCAATAAAACTCTGCAAAGTGGTCCTTCAGGTTCCACCTCTTTACTGTCCTTCCGTGTACCTTTGAAGCTTCAATAAATACTGCAACTACCCATTTCAGGACTTTAATGCTAACTTTCACTCCTCTCATCAATTTTCTGCTGCGCTCCACCCATTCAAACCATTTTCCAACCTCATCTTTGCATCTCGTAATGTCATAGGACTTGAACCCTGCATTGTAAAAGATGATATCCTCCCCTATTGGGTGTGGTCCGGCAGCTTTGCCGGATCCACCCATCTGAAATCTAGAGTTTGAATAATTTAAGCTAAAAGCTGACAGACCTCGATTAAAGTGCCTGAGAGCATTTTTTCTTTGTGCCCTTATACTTCTTTACCAAGTAGGATACTATTTAGTATTCCTATTTCTATTTCTATTACTATTCCTTTTCTAATAAAATTGTATATACCTATTTCTATTCTAATAGGATTGTATAAACCTATTCTTATTCTAATGAGATTGTATAAACCTATTCCTATTCTAACATACATAAATACAAATATATATACAAGAGCACCGGAACAACATATGACTTTGAATGAGCGGCTCCACACTGAATAGAAATAAGCCTTCAACATTCAGGTATAGGGGGTCAAACCTGGTGGACCTTCAAATAAGACTGCCCGGGGCCTGTTCGTCTCAAATTTGCGTCGGGTCCCACGAGCAATATCATCATATACTTCAGGACTTTGCAAAGCTAGCAGTATTGTATCTTCGATTTCCCTAGACATTAGAAAATCAACTAAAGGTGATCACTTCAAGACAATGAAGATAGTATTCTTGACAGAGGTACCATTTATCAGTAAACTTGTACCAATAAAGTATATACTATTATTTTATTTGGTTTCCCACCCGGTGTCTATTACCCACATTGGAGCCCGACTAAATCCGAACTCACACTGGAAAGTCCCACATTGGGGGGTAAAGCGCTCCCTAATATGGATGACTCCGTACTCGAGGGGACTCGAACCCGAGACCTCTTGGTTAAGGATGAAAGAGTACTTACCACTCCACCACAACCCTTGTTGGTGTATATAATACTATTGAAGTCAATGTCAATTTATAATGAAACAAACTACACCCAAGTTACTACAAATGTTTCATGAATTGGTCATCCAGTCAATCCCAACAAACAATGGATGTGCAGTATCATAAATGCCAAGAACTAAAGATTTTCTTTTCTGCTTGAACAAAGGGGTTTGAACAAGAAGTTAAAAGGAGACTTTGGATACAATTCCTGCTTGCAGTTGGTGTTTTATATGGAAAGAACTAAACATAATATGTTTTGAAGATGAACAGAACTCTGTAATAAAAGTAAAATCTGAGTGTATTATGTTGGTATCTTTTTGGTGTAGATAAAAATGGGTAAATGAAGCTGAAACACTCCTAAAGTTCATAAAATTGTTTGTATAAGCAGTCAAATTTTTTCCTCTGTTCTCTTTGTGTAATCTTTTGGGTGTAACCACAGCACTTTCTTAGTGCTCTTTTTTTTTTACATCAATTCTTGTAACTTTTTCAGAAAACGAAACAAATTTTCCTCTTTTACTTACTTCCATCTCACCCTTCATCTTTTCAACAAACCATAAGTTTATATAGCAAGACGCATCTCCATAGTCTACATAATACATATTATCTACCTTTCAGGGAAAAGAAAGACTAATCTAAACTCCCATATTTTATCTCCAGTTTAACATTAGGTTAATGGAGAACAAGATAAATGCTTTATCTTAAAGCAGGGTTTGTAGAAAATGCAGAGATGTGATGATTCAAAGCAGAGCCAGTTACCGTTTCTGTTGATTATATCCAGCAATATTCTCCCAGGCAATATTAGCTTTTGGATTACCACTAGTGGACACATTAATGCCAAAGATTTTCACTCCCATAGACTCGAGAGTAGTAACTGTTTTATCTGCAGAAGGAACTCCTTTTGATCTGAAGTCCAATGCTTTTTGTTGTCCTGCAAATTGTAGCACATATGCCAAAGCATCAAGCTCCTCATCAGTAAAGCTCACGGGCTTCATAAACTCAACTTCCTGCCATAATTGAAACTCTCATTATTTTCCAATATTTGGTGGGTTGTAGTTTGCAAGCCAGAGGAAGCACAGTAATCAAGTGATTCAAACAAAATGGTGGTTCAAAAGTTACAGGAAATGTACAGCTTTGTCGGCGCTAATGAGTGGACGAAATATGAGAATGCATAAATCTTCGTCAAAAGGATTTGTATCCCTTCCACCAGCCTGCTCCCCTGCAGTTCCATTTTTCGTTTGGGGGCGGCTAAGTGCCAGTTTCCAGGCAACCCCACTGCAACGGTCAGAAAAAACTTTAAGGAGACTAGGGACATTCAATTGATGAAGAAAACAAGAAAGGTTATGAATATCAAAGAACATTTTAAATTTTCCAAATGACATGAACTGTACTATTGGTGCAAAATGATCAGACATCGTCAAAGCAGTGCTCAACTAACCTGTCCCAAGCGTGTAACATCATATTTGATGATGCACTAGAATCTTCAAGTTTTACTCCAAGGCATGAAACAAGGCTTGCAATTAGGTGCGGAATTTCACAGGTTGGAGGAACTTGGAACTTGATAGTGACCTGCTAGAATGAAAACCCAACCATACCCCACAATCAATCTATTCCTCTCGAAAAGTAAAGTTAGAGCTTAAAGAAAGTACCAACAACTCAAAGCAAACAAAACTTTAAGCTTCTATTATCTAGAAGGAAAAGCAAGAGGATAACCTTTTGACCCTTAACGGCAACAGTAAAACGAGGATAAGAACCATACTTCACTCCTTTGCTCTTGAGCAAGTTCTCTAATCTGAGTCTCTCCCTTTTTGCTGTTTCTTCAAGGGGGTTGTGGCTTGGAATTGGAAGAGAATCATAAGGCGGAACTTTCGCACCGGCCTATAGAAGAGCAAGTTAAATCAGTACTGGTTCTCACATTTTTTTTATTTTGTCAACTTAGAACACCAAATATCTTATTAGTGACTAGCGCATTTCCTGCATTCAAAAGGATTATCATCTGCACCTATGTAAGCTTACATGATTTAGAGAGGTATGCTTGACTAATCATAATTACAGAGTGACACGTCATGACAATATAAACACCTAAAAGGGCATCCCAGTGCACAAAGCATACCACGTTAGCAGGGACTGGTAAGTGCTGCACCCCAAGGGATGTGATGTAGACAACCTAACCTAATGCTTGCATTAGTGGCTGCTTCCACGGATCGAACCCGTGAGCTATATGTCCCAAGGAGACAACTTTATCGTCCAAGGTTCCCCTTCCAGAAATATAAGCACCTATGGACAAAAATTAACATCAATAGCGCATGCTGACCTCATCAGAATCTGCATAGGCTACATTCAGAACTCCAACTCCAAGCAGTCCAGCTAAAATGGCAGGAATAGTAGTTGAAGGTACTGATCTTGAAAAAAATGTACGTCGGTGACACCCAAAAATTCCTGTAACACAAATTCTATTAAGAAATCTGTGAATTTCGGTAGCACTTCCAAACAGACCGGACATTTCCCCAAGCCTCACTATATTCCATTTCTTCCTGAATAAAGAGATTGCAGTAAACCCTGACCACTCAACAAAGAGAGTAGAATAGATAGATATGTATATATACAAGTAAATACCCTTTGCAGTACATGCAATGATCTGCAGACCTAAGATGCAGGCCAAGTGGCTACATACTATAATTATAACTACACCTCAATGCAAACTAGCTGACTTCGGCTTGATGAATTCTCCATGTCCATTCCACTCTAATTGGGTTCGCTTTGTTGTAATACTCAATATATCTGTTAAGAGAGATACAGATTTTCTAAAACTAGAGATTTTCCAAATTTCACACTTATCCTTAGACTAACTACACCTCTTGTAGTTATAGTGTTCTCCAGTCTTGACACTTCACTTAGGTCTATCATAAACTCCAGTATCTCGCGTTCAGCATAGTACAAGATGATGTTAATGTTATTGTGAATTAAAAGCTGGAATTCATCAGAAAGAAGGTACAGAACATATGATGAGCCCAACTCAAAAGTGATTACCTCAGTTATGTCACATTTGTGAATTGCCACTGGACATGCTAGTCATATCTCATTACCCATAAGATTTGTAGTATGACCATGCCAAATAGTTTTAAAGCATCTCTTTGCATCATTAGGTCCATACGAACTTATCCTTTTTTCCTCTGTCCTTCAGATTCGACTTTGATAACCTATTGAATTTCACACTTATCCATGTAACCAGCTTGGCTTCAAATGTGTGTTCTTACACGCATTCTTATAACCACTAAACAATCATTTTACATGTCCATGTTCTTTGCTTTTAGCATAAAGAACAATGAAAGGAAAGAGATAATCACTAGAATCATATTTGAAATGCCCCATCTCTAACAACCTTAGGTCTAGGGTTTAGGATCAAAATTCAACAGCAGTCTCAGTGCCAGGATTACAGCTATCACAATCTACCACACTCTACTTGAATATACACAATTTACAGAGTCATAGCTTATCAAACTTAACTTGCAATAAGTAATCAGGCAGTTCTTATTATCAATAAATTTAAAAAACAGAGGAACTTGGGCAGTTAAGCCTATGGGGTAATTAAACAGAGTCCGTCCCAAATGCATGGTCACATGTGTACTCACCCAGATTACACAAAATTGTCGTAAGGGATTAGTTAAAACTAATACGAGCAGATTAATCCATACTACAGCCTATATATGAACAAAATGCGCAAGCAGAATTCATAGAGCATACCATTGTGCGGAAGGTTAGGAGATTGATAAAGGGAAGGAGAAGCTAGGGTTCTGTAATGAGAGTGAAGAGCTCTGGCAAGGCGCCTTATTGACGCCATAATTGAAGTGCAATCTCCGTGGGAATGGAAGAGCTTTTCTTCTGGCGACTCTCTATGTAAGTTGGGGCTCAGTATAATAGAAAAAATTCTCCGTGACGCGCCTGATAATTCCTCAGCGGTTCAGTCGGTCTTTTTTCCATTTTTCGTGGGGTTTTTTGTCCAAGTTTTAAAAAAATACATATATATTATTATCAAATAACGAAATTGCAAGATAAGTAATATTGACAAATAAATAAGTAGAATAAATATTGAGAAGTTGAAAAACAAAAAGAAAAAAAAAGAGGAAATATTATTTTTCTCGAACTTGATGAATACATGAAGAATTTGTAATGAATCTATCGTATGAGAAATGGACTTCAAGAAACAATGTTAATCGGTATACAATTCAAATTAGCAAACCAGAAATAATAAAAGATGAAAAGAAAAACACAAAGAACTATCCGAATCCACAGAACCCACTGTGTGCCCTTAAAAAATTTAATCCCCTCAAGTACCCGAGGTTGCAGATTAATTACTCCCAAGATAAAACGGATTAACCATTAAAGAAGTAATGGTACCTCAAACTTCGATAATTTCAACGAACTCAAAATGACAGCAACGAATCACACACACAGACACAATCGATCGATTTTGTTTTGTAAGAAATGTATGCAAAAGAAGGGAAGAATTCGATGCAGAAAAATAAGAGAAAACCTCTCTATTTATAGCCAACAAAGGGTAAAGGTCACAACCCTTTGGAAATAAGACAACCTTTTAGAAAGGTCACAACACTTTGAAAAAGGCATAACCTTTCAAACGGTCACAACCCTTTAGAAAGGACACAACCTTTCATAAAGGTCACAACCCTTCGGCATAGTCACAACTCTTCAGGAGAGTCACAACCCTTCATTTCCTGTTCACACCTTTAAAACCCAACAGACAGTGTGGTAGAGTGTATTAAAATAATGATAAATAGATTGTATTAGCAATATTTGTATTAATTATGCTTGCATTAATTATACGTAGATTATTTCTTATGCATTGTTTGATTTGATGTATTAAAAATATCATACATTGTACAAAAAAAAATATTTACAAGAAAATCCTCTACAATTATGGTGACGGATGTAAAAGGGGTTTTGAGGGGTAATTGTGTCTTTAAAGTGCTAATGCATGCATTAAATCTCTTTGCATTACTACTACCTAGAAATTTGGTAGAGTGTATTAGGAAACAGCCCGTATTGTTACTAAAAAATTATTTACAAGAAAATCTCCATGGGGTCGTTTGGTAGAGTGTATTAGGAAAAATAATATAATGCATGCATTAGCCTTGTGTAGGGGTGGCAATTTCAGCCCATATTAATGAAATGAATCCATTTTGCTCATATTTAATGACTTTGATCACTCATATTTTAATTGGTTAAATATGGGCTTCAAACTATTTTAAGAGTCTCTACAAATATGGTCAATATGGGTAAAATATGGGTGTCCATATTGACCCATAATAGATCACTTAGTTTTCACTTCCACTCAAAAGTCTTAATTGTGCTAAAAAATAAAAAAATTAATATTAATTTTCAAACTTAATTGAAAAAACATATTCTTTTTTTGTTTTTGAAAAAAAATAATAATTTAGGGGTAGGTTGGTGGAAGGTGACGCCCTGGGGGTGGGGGGTGCCCGGGGGAGGGGGTAGTTTTTTTTTGGAAAAACAGTTTTTTTTTTTGGAAAACAAAAAAATTTAGGGGTCGGTTGGTGGAAGGTGGGTGGGAGTCCCGGGGGAGGGGGTAACTTTTTTTTTTTTTTTGAAAAAATAGAATTTTTTTTGTTTTTGAAAAAAATAATTTAGGGGTAGGTTGGTGGAAGGTGTGGGGGGGCGTGGTGGGCGGTGCTCGGGGAGGGGTAAATTTTTTTTTTGAAAAAACAGATTTTTTATTTTATTTTTGGAAAACAAAAAAATTTAGGGGTTGGTTGGTGGAAGGTGGGGGTGGGGGGTGCCCGGGGGTGAGGGGATAAATTTTTATTTTTTAAAAAATAAAACACATTTTTTTTTTGGAAAACAAAAAATATTTAGGGGTAGGTTGGTGGAAGGTGTGTGGGGGGGGGGGTAAATTTTTTTTTTGTTTTTGGATAACAAAAAAATTTAGAGGTCGGTTGGTGGAAGGTGGGGGGGGGGGGGGTAGGGGGTAATTTATTTTTTTTTGAAAAAACAGATTTTTGTTTTTGTTTTTGGAAAACAAAAAAAAAATTAGGGGTAGGTTGGTGTAAGGTGGGGGGGGGGGGTAATTTTTTTTTGACAAACAATTTTTTTTAAAAATGGGTTAGAACCATTTTATCCAAACCATATTTGACCAAATCCATATTTGCCCATATTCTATTTGGGTGGATTATAAACCAAACCATTTTTGCTCAATCCATATTCAATCCATCCAAATCCGATCCAATCCAACCATTTGCCACCCCTAGCCTTGTATATTACTAGTACCTTGTTTGGTACTCTTTTTCAACCTATGTATAACTAATGTTTGCAATGCAATGATTTTAATGCATGCATTAGCATGATTAAAGACCCAATTGCCATCAAAACCCTTTTTACATCTTTTCTACCATAATGGTAGAGAGTATTTTTGTAAATTAATTTTTTTTATGCAATACATGCTATTTTTTAATGCATCAAACCAAACAATGCATACAAATAATATATGTATAACTAATCATACTTTGCAAATGCAAGCATTACTAATACCCTCTATTTAGCATTATTCTTATAAGTATTAGTAATACACTCTCCTATACACAGCACTACAACAAAGTGTATAACTAATGCAAGTTTCAGTTATACATAGCATGCAAAAGTGCACCAAACAAAGTACTATCATTACATAAAGTTAATTCATACATTAATTTTGCTAATACACTCTACCAAACGATCATAATGATGTTATTATATTAGCGTTTTATCCTTCTTTCCCCCAAGAGGAGGAAGAAGTAGTGTAGTACCAAAGTGACTAATTTTTAAATACTTCATAAATAGTGACTATATTTTAAACAACAAAATTAAATTTGGTTACCTTGGTATCCTTTCTACTTCAGAATGTTGAACCCTCTACAATTTGGGCCAGTATAATTTTTTGTTATTGAGCTTGCTTGATAATAGTATGGGATTTCTTAGATATTTTATGGGCTTTTTTTTTATCAATAAAGGGAAACTTACACAAATATATTATAGAGAAAATTGTATAAAATAGCAAATTATTAATTCAAATTAAATGATATAATCACAGTTTGATTTAATTGTAACCCGTAGCAAACAGTTTTCATTCGCCTCTCCCTGAATTTCTCTCTCACCACTCTCCATTTCTCGCTGCCAGTCTCTCCCTCGCCTCTCCCACTTTATACAAACATAAAATGTGTTTGTGTTTGTATAAAGCGAGAGAAAACTGTATGTATACATATCTTTCGTTCGCCTCTCTCCCCAGAGAATCTCGCTCGCCACTTTCACTCGCCTCTCTCACTTTTATACAAACACAAATGTATAAATTGTGTTTGTGTTTGTATAAAGTGATAGAAAATTGTATATACAAATACATATATTTTCGTCCTATACACTTATAATTATTCAAATATTGATCTTCCCCTGCCCAGTTTTCTTTTGTCTTTCTCTCTTTCTCGCTTTATACAAACACATATTATACAATTGATTCTTTTGTATATGTATACCGAAATATACATATTAATAGTCATAGCAAACATAAAGTTTATTATGGAGCGCAATTATACAAACTATAGCTAATAGTATACAAATATGATTTTTATGTTTGTTAAACCTAAAATTTACTCATTATATTAAAAAAATATTTACTATTTATAACATCAATAATTTTAATACATAATATAGTTTTAATACATAGTACAAAGAATAATTTATAAAACACATTAATAAAAATTTTATTGATAGATAATACATTTATCTCACACTTAAATACACTTATAGTACATTGTGTCGATTTCTTACCAAACAAGCATAATATGTATATTTTAGTATAAAACACATAAATTCCATAATGGTAAGAGCTAATTACATTATTTCCCTACTTTTTCAAATTACAAAATCTCTTAAAATTTATAAATTTTGAATACATCATTAGACTTCCGGACACATCACTGGACTTTCAGATACATCACAGGACATTCGGATACATAGATGAGGGATGTATCCGAGAGGGGAGAGATGTATTAGAGATGGGATAGCTGGACATCCAGATACATCACTGGACTTCCGAATACATCAGCAGACATCTGGACACATAGATGAGGGATGTACTAGAGAGGGGGATATGGATGTATCGGTGAGAAGAGAGTGATGTATCAGAGAGGTATTTTAAAAAAAAATTTAAATGGTAGGGAATTTTAGAGATTATGGTAAAAATAAGATTGTATTTAGGTCATCCTATATTTTAAAACACTTATAATACATTTATATTGCATGCATATTTTACTTTGAAATTTTAATACGTAGAACATATTTATCATAGTACTGCTATAAATGATTATAAATAAAAATTATCGCTAAAATCAATAATTTTTTATTAAAAAACATCCACCCAAGTAGAAATTTTTCTATCAATAAATCCAAGATGTTCCTGCTTGTCACACTGAATTTTTGCATCGATTGTCCTATTTCGGAATATTCTTTTATTTTTGCCCTTAAATATAACGATCTTTAATTTATATCTTTACTGCTTATTTAATGAAAATTGTGGACCAAATTTTCTTCAACCTAAAACTAGCGCGGGATCCTCAGTAGTGATGACTTTTTAACTCTTCCAAGAACGGATACATGTATCAAATACTCATACGAAAAATTTTAGGTTCGGAATTATTGGAAGAATTGCTAACGTCAAAAGTTTTTGTAACGTCTTATAAAAGTTCAATGTGATCTTCTATCTCCTCAAGTTTGTAAGGCCGATATATTGTTTAGATAACTAAAATAAAACATGTATGATATGGTCTTTTTCTTTCATGTCATGGGGTTTTCACATATAAAGCTCATAAAGGTGTGAAATTTTGAAATAGC